GGGGTCCTTGTTTCCCTCCTCCCCCGCCGTCCTTAAGGGGCCCAGGGTTCCAGCTCGTCGTCTCTTTACAGGTGTCCCTGCCACGTGCTGGAGCAGCTTTTACTTTTCTTTTTAAATTGAGGTGAAATTCATTTAACATGAAATTAGCCATCTGAAAGTGAACAGTTCAGTGGTCTTTATGATATTGACAATGCTGTGCAGCCATCACCTCTCTCTGGTCCCAGAACATGTTCATCACCCCAGAAGGAAACCCCAAACCCGTTAAGCCATCTCTTCCCCGTTCCTCCCTCCCCCCAGCCCCTGGCAACCATCAGTCTGCTTTCTGTCTTTATGGATTTACCAGTTTTGGAGATTTCATATAAATGGAATCGTACATTCTATGTCTTTTGTGTCTGGATAGATGACATTTTGTTTATCTATCCATCTATTGATGGACACTTGGGCTGGTTCTGCTTTTCAGCTTGGTGAGTGGTGCTGCTGTGAACATGGTGTGTACGTGGATTTGTCTGAAGATTTGTGCTCCTTTCCTTGTGTGCACACCTAAGAGGGGACTCGCTGGGTCGTAGTAATTCTGCGTTCCACTTTTTGAGGAATAGCCAAACTTTTCCACGACGTGCTCCAGTGTCATAAACATCTATCAAGATGCTTCCAGAAGTGGGGCATTTGTGGGGTTTCCGTGGGGCTGTGTCTATAGGATGTGGCGGGTTTAGAGGTGGGTTACTTTCAGTGAACATGGGTCAGCCCAGCTCCGGGGCGCGGCCTGAAGGTCCCCAGGACCTGGCCTCACTCAGCTCCAGCCTGATCCGCACGCTCCCCTCTGTCTCTGGTGTGAGGCTGACCAGGATGATCACTTACGGCCCCCATCTTCCTGCTCTTCCTCCTGGACTCGTGACCGTAGCTTCGTGGCCCCGTGGTCTGGCCTGCCCACCCCCAGGCCTCACCCTGCCTGCGTACCCCCTGCTCTCCCTCTGGCCATGCTTGTCTGTTACCCTTCCCCCACTGGGGCCCTTTCCTCCCTCTGGACCACTTACCCTCTCACCCCTCTGTTATTTTATACCCGTCCATCATGAGCACTCAGTATAGACCCAGCTCCTCCAGGAAGCCTGCTCCCACCGCCTGGGATGGGCCAGCCCCTCGCCCCTGCCCCCTGCAGCCTGCAGGCCACTCAACTGCCCAGGGATCCTGGGAAAACCCGTGGATGGAGCTCTTCAGGGTGATAGGTCCCTACCCGTCTTCTCTAATTCTCCCCGGGACTCCCTGCTGACACCTCATGGCCTCTGTGCGCCGTTCCCTCCACCTGGATTCCCTTCCAGCAGGTTCCAGCCACCTGCCTCCCTCCCTCCTTCACGCCTCTGCTTAGAGGTCCCCAGCTCAAACCCCCAACCCTGTGTCCCCCTTAGGCTGCTTGATCTTCCGTTTGCCCCCAACACCTGACATCCCTCTGGTGTCTGTTTCTTGACCCTGCACGAAGGCTGGTCCTCGAGGGCAGAAACTGCATGAGTTCCCTAGAGCTCCTGAAACAGCCCCACAGAGCTCGTGTCTTGGCACAACGCTGTCTGAAGTGCGTTTCACTGGGCGGGTCTGTACTGAGGCCTGTACTCCCTGGGGGCTCCCAGGGGAGAAGCTGTCTCCTGGCTTTTCCACGTGCCTGGGCTTGTGGCCCCCCAACACCCTGCAGCTCCGCATCTTCCTGTCTGTCTGTCTGTCTGTCCTCATATCTCCTCGGATGCTGACCCTCCTACCTCCTTCTTACAAAGACCCTCATGATGACATTGGTTCCACCCAGATACTCCGGTTTGATCTCCCCATCTCAGGTCTTTCATCATTTCTGCAGAGTCTCTTTTGCCGTGGAAGGTCCCCTGGTCTCAGGTTCTGGGGATCAGGATGCGGACATCACGGGGCTGCCAGTGTCAGCATCTCTCAAGAAGGGCCCACATTGGAATGTAGAGCCGGGGAGCTGAGTTCACGGCCACACCTTGCTGCCAGTTAGCAGTACGACCTTGGGGAGTCATTCCCTGCTCTGAGCCTCGGTTTCCACCCCTGACCACACAGAGGACAATATTCAGCCCTTGGCTGTCGTTTTTCCCTCTCCTGGTGCTACGCACTGAGCGGCTGCGCAGTGGGTGCGTAGCAGAGGTGGGTGCATAGTGGGTGCACAGCTGAGACAAGGTGTGTGTCTTAGAAAGACCTCAAGAGGCTCCTTCTCTGTCCTCCATCCTTGGGAATATAGCTGACTTCCTCTCCCCCTCATTGTCTGCTGTAGAGCTGCAGAGAGATGAGGAGGAGGCCGCGGCACTGGGCGCGGTGAGAAGGACCCCGGTGGCGCCCACGGCTGGCCCGGACCCTGCTCTGAGCATGAATCACCCCTTCTACGACGTGGCCAGACACGGCATCCTGCAGGTGGCCGGTGAGTCCCAGCTGGGTGGTTCCCCAGGACACCGACAGGGCCAGCCTTCCGTGGGTCCTGTGGCACAAGACGGGCTCCTCACGTAACCCCAAATGTCCTCTTTAGAAAACTTCTAACGTCTAGGTAGTGGGGAGGGATACTGGTCCAGATGTGAGGGACGTGGACCCACAGATTAGGTGCTCACCACAGGAAAGCAGGAAATCTAGTTACTTTTAATAAGATGTAAAAAATTCATCATGTGTGTTAATGTGCAGTGGGTTTATTATTCTTTTAAAATGAGCGAGTAACTAAATATTTAAAAATTCTCTGTTTTAGGTTTTTAATACAGTAAATTTCTATAGAAATAACCCACATTAAAAAAAATTATTTAAAATCTCTTTGAGGTCCTCAGTGAGTTTTAAGAGTATTGACATGTTCTGAGACCTAAAAGTCTGGGAACCAGTGGCCTTGTCTATGATCTGTCTTGTGCACTTAAAAAGAATGTATATTATATTCTGCATTTTGGGGCGGAACGTTCTGTGTATTTCAATTAGGTTAGGTTGGTTAATAGTGCTGTCCAAATCTTCTGTCTTCTTCATCACTTTTGTGTCTGCTTCCATCAGTTACTGACGGAAGCGTTCAAAGCTCCCACAGTTAGAATTTGCGCATCACTCCCTTTGGTTCTGCCCACTTTTGTTCTGTGTTTTGATGCTTTGTTTTAGGGGCGGCATATATACTTAGGGTTTTTATGGCTTCCTGATGTGTTGACCTTTTTGTCATTGTGGGGTGGCCCTCCTTCCGTGGGTCATACTCCTTTATTCATCCTCTTTGCCCTGTTTGTCTGATGTTACAGTCGTCACGACAGCCACGCCAGCTTTCTCCGTGTTGCTGTTGGTAGATATGCCCTCTCCATCCTTCCCCTTCCAGCCTGTCTTAGTCTCTGCGTGGGCAGCGTGTCTCTTAGAAACAGCTGATCATTGGCTCTCTCCTTTCTTTGAGAAGCGGGCTGAGTATTGGAAGCCACCTTCTTGACAACTTGCATACCATGCTGGGGAGTTTGCACTCGGTCACGATGGCTCTGGGGAAGCTTGAACAGGACCGACGTAATCGGGTCTGATTTAGGGGATCCTTCTCGCTGCGGCGTGGAGGGTGCTGACGGCGGCTGCAGGAGGCAAGTAGACGCACGGGAGCAAGAACGTAGCAGCAGCGAGAAGGGAGTGGATGGAGCTGAGAGAGACTCCAAGATGTTATGCCGAGGACCAGCTGAGTCCCACCTGGGATCAGGCCCTCGTAGACGAGATGAGGCTCCTGGGTGCAAAAGGAAAAGTGGAATTAAGAGACGAGGGTCTCCGGGCAGTGACTCAGGCTGGCTCTTCTTTTCTTTCTTTATTTTTCTTTCTTTTTTTAAATAATTTTTCTCTTTTATGGAGGTACTTGGGATTGAACCCAGGACCTCGGGCATGCCAAGCACTCGCTCTACCACTGAGCTATTGCCCTCCCCTGGCTCTTCTTTCACGTGCCTCACCTCCACCTGCTGCTCTGGTGGGGGCCGGCGGGACACGGTTTCTTCCTGGCAGGAGGCTGTGGGCATCCCCAGGGTTTGTGGCGGGCCCTTCAGCACCGTTAAGGGACTGTAGCTGCCATGGGGCTGTGCTCAGGCCCTTCTAGAGACACCGCATGGAACCGTCACAGTTGAGCACGTGGGCCTGTGTCCGCACTCCTGCAGGTTTCCTTGGGAGGGTGGAGGCTGGGCAGTCATCTTTGGATTCCGGATGGTTTTTTCGGACTAGATTTCTCACTCACTCAAACACCAGCTTCTTGAGCTGTTTAGGTGTCTTAAAAAGAACACCTGATAGCCTCGAGCCATCCTGAAGACCGCGGCCCCCCTCAGAGGTCGTGGATAGCTGCAGAAGGAATCAGCAGGACCAGCTCCACACTCGGCGAACGGGGTTTTGTAGTCAGGGATCGACGGCAGGGGGAATGAAGGGCCTCACCTGGGTGACTCAGTGGCTCAGGATGGAGAAAACCATTAGAGCAAAACCCAGCGTCCCTGAAATCACGCGTGGCTTTTCCAGTTGGAGTGCCCGGTGAGGGCAGGCCCCGGGGTTCCCTCCCTGAGGGCTGGCCCTCCAGCCCTCCTCCCAGGCCTCACCTGGTCCAGCGTTGTCCCCTCATCCCAGCTCAGCCATGCTCCTTTGTGTCCGGTGGGTCTGTGAAGTGGGGACGGTTCAGGACCTGGAACCCTTTTTCCTGCTCCTCCAGGAGGTGGCACAGGCCACTCTGGGACCCCCTTCAGGGGTAAGCAGGCATCCCTCTCTGCGAAGGGGCTCCTCTAATTTTCCTCTCCCAAATGCCACCTCCTCCAGCGCTGAACGTCCAAGCCACAGCCAAAAACCAAAGAGTCTTCTTGAAAATAGTATTGAAGGATCTCTCATTACTTTAGGGGCTGTATGTTTGGCCAGGTGGAAGCTTTGTAGAACTTTAACTCTTAAGGCAGTGCTCTGTACATACAGTTGATTTAAATATTTTGAGGAGCGGTCGTCATCTGAAGCTCCGGGCTGGGGCTGGGGCTGGAGCTCAGAGGGGAGATGAGCCTGCAGAGAGCAGGGGGGTCCCGAGAGATCGAGGAGGTGGGACGTGTCATCTCTGAGGCGCGTGGCAGGGCAGAGGGACACCGGGTCTGGTCCCGCTGGAGGACAGTCACCACCCTCACATCCAGAGCTTTCCTCGCGGCCCATTCAGACTCCAGCTGGCCTTCCCTGCAGGATGAAGACAAAATGAGTCTTCAGATCACCTTTCACTTCTGCAAAAGAAAGTTAGCAACCTGACAACAAAAACCAAAACAGACAAGCCCCCACGTTGGTCCCGATGAGGCTGCTGCTGCCTTTATTACGCATTTTAATCATCCTTCACTCTCGGAGCGATGATGGATCGACGCGGGCGTGGCAGGGCAGCGGATCGGGGAGTCATTTCTTTATTCATAAACGGGGCTTCTCCCGCCTCGGAGACAGTGAACGATGCTGTGCTGTAAACAGCCAGTGGAGGAAAAGGGTCATGAATTAAACCGATGCCACGTCCAGTCTGTGTTTTATTGATAGTTTTCATTTCCCGCCGTATTATATCATGTGGAAGCCTGTTCTCGACATGCTGGCCCGTGTTGCGGAGGGCAGCCGAGGGTGTTCACTCATCTTGACTGATGTCGTTGACGCCGATGCCCAGCGACTGTGCAATCAGCGGGAGGGCTGGGTGTCCAGGGATTCCTCTGGGCTGTGGAGGAGGCTGGACCCCAGCGGCTGCGGAGTGCAGAAGGCCTCCTCCCTGGGAACGTGAGGGACCCGGTGGCAGAGGGGGCTGCCGAGGCCGGGCGGGGGGGTGTGCCACCCTGGGAGTCGGCTGGCTGCGGGGTGGACCCAGCTCTGACACTCCCTGGCCTCCCCGGGCCTTGGTTTTCTCACCTGGAAATGAACAGCACACCTGGAAGCCGCCCCGCATCCCACCTGGCACGTGGTCATGGGTCACATTTATTGAGCACGTGCTGTGTGCCAGCTCTGCAAGACTATTCAAGCTATCGATCTAGTCTCCCCTGAACCCCTTGAGGAGCCAGGCAGGAGCCGTGTCTGGTCTCTTGTCTCCAGAGCTGAGCGCACGTGGGCCCTCAGCAAGCGCTTGTTGGCCGGATCTTCCGTTCACCAAAGTAGCGCATCCCCAAGACTTTGCATTCGGTCCGATTCAGATGTTAGTGCTCGTTTTCCCCGTCGCTTCATGGTGGCTGCAGACTTTCTGTTTCAGCCCCAGCGGCTTTTAGTTCCTGGCTCCTTCAGTAGCCGCACAGACAGTTCACATCCTCAGAAGCCGACTGGTCCTTTTCCCTTTCCTCCCGCGGAGCCCCGGCCTCCAGGGCGGTAGGAACGTTGTTTGGAAAACAGTCCAGGCAGAGCCGTGGAAGGCTTTGTGCCGGAAAACGCCCCTCTGGCAAGGGGAGCAGATCAATGTGTGGGTTCCAGCGCAGCCCTCCCAGCGGGAGCTTTCTAAGCAAATGGAAACCATGACCAGAATTCTCAAGCAACCTGTGAAAAGGCCGCTTTATTTGGAAACCGAAACAACTCTCGAATTCTGAACGTCCGAGTGGCTCCCAGGCTCCTGGGAGAATCAGACGTGCCCTAAATAACAAATAGCTCCCTGGCCGGACAGCGGGCGGGGACCTCGAGGGGCACGTGATGTGTGCGCGCCTGTGTGTGTGCCCGCGCATGTGTGTGATCTTTTTCTTTCTTTTTTAACAAAGATGCTGGGGATTGAACCCAGGGCCTCGTGCATGCTGAGCACGTGCGGTACCTCTGAGCTAGACCCTCCCCCCGACGCATAGGATCTTGCCTTTCAGAGCTGGGGGCGGGGCTGAGGAGGCGGGGCTGCCGTTCTTCTCATTTTAAGCAAACCTCTGAGAACAGTTGTGAATACTTGTTAAAGGGGCTTAAAGTGGGTTCAGAGTCGGGCACGTTTCTGGAAGGGCTCCCTTGTGTTTCCTTCAGGTTCCTGGTAATCTTCCCACAGTCAGTCCCTCAGCCAGTCAGTGAATGGGTGTCGGGCATCATTTGAGCCACAGGCGTGGGCAGCAGGCGTGGGCTCTGGGGATGCAGATGGTGAAGGTGAACTTGACACAGGAGCGCAGAGCGTCAGGTGGTGGGTGCCCATTCTCAGGTGCTGCATCCACCTCGCCCTGGGCACCTGTGGCCTAGTGGGCTGGTCAGGAGGCTACTGGTCTTTGTTATCACCTGCGGGCGTGATGGGGGAAGGCAGCCTTGGGTGTCAGTGCCACGAGGCTCGGCTCACGCTGTCTCCCCTGCAGGGGAGGACCGCCTTGGAAGACGAGTCGTCACGTTCAGCTGCTGCCGGATGCCCCCCTCTCATGAGCTCAACCACAGGCGGCTGCTGGAGTAAGTCCCGTCCCCTGCCCCCTCCACGCACCCCCACCGCCTTGTGCACACATCCCCTCTGTAGGCTACTCCCCCCCCCCCGTGTAAACTGCCTCTCTGACTCTCAGCACCAAGTGGATGTTCGGGGTCAAAGGCTAACATGCACAGACTGACGGGCAGGTCCCCAGGTGGATGTCACGTCAACTGCCAGGTCACCAGTCCACCCCTGGGCCTGGAGCCCACAACTCGAAGTGAACAAAGGCACAGTTGGGTCCCAGAAGCACCTGGAAGCTTTGGGCTGGTTGTTCCGTGAGGCTCCCCCTGACCCAGGTGTCTGCTCTGGCTTGTTAAAGAATCTTCCAGTAGCTGCTGAAGATATAATGGCGATGGCAAAATCTTTGCTGGGAACTGGGGCCCAGAGTCTTTCTGCCAGAGAGCCAGTTCTGCTGTCTCGAGCTGGGATCGGCTGTGGAGTTCTCGAGGGGAGCCCGCGTGCCAGGCAGCGGGTTCCCCCGGACGGCAAGCCGGCCCTCCCAGGAGGTGCTGGCCTCCCTGAGGAGCCAGGCCAGTCTGCCGCCCACTCTGTGTAGACAGGGCACGTGGGGAGGGAGGGGTGCCCAAGCCCAGAGCACTGGTACCCTGTGGTCCTCCGAGATCAAACACATTCCCTTGCCAGATTATTCCTTTTGTGGCATCAAGTAATCTGTGACCTGTGGGTCAGCTCTCACCAAGGGTACCACTGCTGGGCCAGGAGTGAGTTCAGGATGTGTTTTCTTGGAAAGACAGAAAGCAGGTTGGTGGTTGGGGGTGAGGGCCAGGGGAAGGAGGAAAGCCTGCTTACTGGGCTTTTTTTGGGGGCAGTGAGAATGCTTTAGAGCTGGCTGAGGTCATGCTTGCACAGCATTGTGAATGGACTGAATGTCACTGAATTGTTCACTTTAAGATGGTTAATGTCACACATTTCACCTCAATCCAAAAAAATGTACCTCTGACAACAGTCGGTATGTTGTGCTCTTCTGCCCTGCCTCAGAAACCATCATTACCGGATGGAGGTGTTAAGCATGGCCACCATGAACAGTTGTGTAGGTTGTCTACTGCACAAGGGCACCAGCAGGTGCTCCCCTCACCCAGTGCTGGCAGGCGTCTACCTGGAGGAAGAGGCGCCTTTTTCTCACTTGCTTAGAAGTGCTCTGTGGGCTTCTCGGCCTTGATAAGATAAGCCCTAATACCTAGTCTTTTCCGTGGCTTTTCAGGAAAAATCAACACCATGTACATTATCCTCCATCACTCCATCCCAGTGGGTGGCTTTCCTGTGGCCAGATGTGTGCTCCTATTTTGAAACAGGGGAAGAAATAAGTCCGAGCCTTTGAAGCTCAACCAGTGATTTAGCTAATGATTTCCTGTGCTGAGCAGGCGTGCAGATGTGCTGAGGCACTGAGAGGAACTTGACACGTTATGGAAGGAACCGGGGCACGCTGGGCTGGGGAAAATGTGCCCGCTTTCACTGCAAGTGTCCGCTGTGGACACGTGAGCTGGCAAGGACAGCTTCCTGATTTCTCCTTTCTTAAGAAAGTTGAGAAATGCAAGAGTGACCATCCTTACAGGAATGAGAGGGCATTCTCGGGCTGAGGGACTCTCTGCGGGAAGTCAGAGATCTCCACCTGGTCCTGTCAGTGAGGGCAACTCGAGGCAGCATGGTATCTGTGAATTATGCCCGAGGGCTTGGTCCCGAGGATCTGGGGGACAGTGCACTGGAGAGTGTCTGGGCGTTGGCGTTGCTTCCGTGGCTGCTGAGCCCAAACCATGTACCACGTGAGGTCAGACTTGCATCGTTTTTATATCAGAGCAGATGGCGGGTGGGGGCCTGTGGCTTTCTGGGGGCAGGACAGTGTGGGTCAGAAAGTGGACTCCGGAGCCAGGCTGCTGCATTCAGATCCTGTCTCGGCCCCTTACCCGTTCTCCTCTGCCAGCCTCTGTTGACTCCTCTGTAAAATGGGCATATTGGTGCCTGCCTCAAAGGGTCGTTGTGAGATTTAAACGAGCAAATCCATGTAAGGGCCTGCAGTTCATGTGGTCAGTGCTTTGGGCAGAGGGCACTCTGATGTTTAGTATCACACAAGCAGAGGAGAAGCTGCCATCCTTTGGGGCAAGGAAAAGACCCCCTGCGGTATTCCGGCCGTGCGGGGCAGCTGCATGCCTGCAGGCGGCGGGGACTACCTGGGTTTTTGCCTCAAGTGGTTCTGGGGACGCTTATCCACCTGAGAACCGGCCTGCACGGTGGACCCCCGGGCTCCAGCGGGCTGCGTTCACACAGCTCACAGTGAGGGCCGCTGTGTTCAGAGACGCTGGGTCTGAGCTCCTGGAGTGCCTGGCTGGGTTAACTTCTAGGTAACAAATGACTCTGGCAGCCTGACATGTGAGAGCTCGGCCCGACGGCTGGGTGTCAGGGGCCCCGCCAGCGTGGTGGCGGGCTCAGGGATGGGCCTTCTGCAGCTCGTCTACCGGCGGCCGCACGAGGCCGTTCTGAGTGGGCCACATGGGTGTGTCCAGGAGGGAGGGATCCGTGATCTCGGGACTTGTAAAGCTTGTGCTGGGGGTGTGGTCAGATGACTGAAGCAGAGCAGAGCCAGGGTTGTGCTTTACAGTAAAAAGAAAAGGTGCTGAGAGCTATTCTGGGCGGAAGGAGTTGCTTGCTTCTGGAGATGCAGCAGAGCAGCAGGGAGTCGAGGTGGAGGGGCCGAGCGAGTCCCGGGGCTGCGTCCCAGTTCATCCTCTTTGTTGGTTTCCTATGGCTCTTATAACAAATTACCAAAAACTAGGTGATATAAAACGATGAATTTATTCTCTTCCGGTCCTGGGGGACAGAAGCCTGAAAGCGTGGTGTTGGCAGGGCCCCCTATCCCCCAGAAGTTGCTCCCCGTCCAGGAGAGAATCCCTCTTGCCTCTTCAAGCTTTTGGGGGCTGTCGGCAACCTTTCACCTGCCCGGAGCCGGTGGCTGTGTCACTCTCTGCTCTGCCTCCATCTCCACAGGGCTGTCTCCCCGCTCTAGCTTTCTCTCTTATGTCCGTCTTATCCGGATACAGTATTGCATGTAGCGCCCTCCTGGATAAACTCCTCCTTTCGAGGTCATTGTCTTAATCACTTTCACTGAGACCTTTTTCCATGTAAGGCCGCATTCATGGGTACGGGGATTTGACATGGATGTCTTTGGGGGACCATTTTCAGGCTACCCCCTCCACTTACTGGCTGTGTGACCTTGGGTAAGTTACTTAACATGTCTGAGCCTCAGTCGTCATCTAAGAAACGAGGACCAGGCCCCCAGCCTGTGGATTCTTAGTGTTGTCCTGGACGTGTCCCCACTGGGTGCCCACAGCTTCTGTTACGGGGAGAGCACATTTGGTTTCAATGATGAGGAGCGGGAGACTGAGCCCTGTGCTTTGCGCCCAGGTATCTGAAGTACACGCTGGACCAGTACGTGGAGAGTGATTACACCATCGTCTACTTCCACTACGGGCTGAACAGCCAGAACAAGCCATCCCTGGGCTGGTTCCAGAGCGCCTACAAGGAATTCGACAGGAGGTGCGTGCCCTCCAGCCTTCGAGGGGGGAGCCTCAGGGTGCAGGAGGCTCGGGTGACAGGAGGGGTCACGCGTCTGCAGTAGGGGAGGACGGGATGCCAGGGGAAGGTGGGGTGTTAGGGGCGCCTCCCTTCAGGGCCGGGGCCTCTGCCCAGCGCTGTCACAGGGGGCAGGGTGGGCACACATACTCTGAAAGGGCCGGACAGTCAGGATGCTGGCTTTGTGGGCCACCATGTCTCTGTCGCAACCTCTCAACTCTGCTGGAAAGTCTGGAAGTGGCCGTGGGTAACAAACAGGCAGGACTATTTATTTATGGACATGGAAACGTGAATTTCATGTCATTTTCACATATCACAAACTATTATTCTTTTCATTTTTTTCAACCATTAAAAGCGTAGAGCCATTCTCAGCTTGCGGGCTGTACAAAGCAGGCGACAGGCCAGACTCGTACCCGAGAGCACCGACTCTGGTCTAGTGAGTTGCTGGCAAGGAAACGTAACCATCCCCCCGCTGCCCTCCACCTGCAGCGCGCTTCAGTCTGCAGGGGGCTTTCTGGTGTCTCGTGTCGAAGAGGTGGGCACGGGTGTTACAGACAGGGACACACGGGCCCCAGAGGACGGGTGTCTCCCTCTAGGTCCCTCAGCTGGCACGTGGCAGGGCTGGGACCCCAGCTGAGACCCACGTTCTGCACTGTTTGGGGACTGCCAGGGGCTAGTGGACTTTTTCCTGCCGTGTCTTGCGTAACAGTGGGCTTCGCAGTGCACGCGGCTCACAGACGGCGCTGCTGGGCGTTAATGTTGAAATCCGGGACTCCTCCGGGTTTTCCTTCTTCCAGGTCCTTTCAAACCTATAATGAAATCTCCCTAACAGATGTTTGAGTCGGTGGGACGGTGGCAGGCAGTGCCTGATTTCTCAAAGCCCTCCCTCCCGACTGCCTCTTGGGCCCTGCTGCCATTGTCAAGAGAAGCTAATTTAGAGGGATTTCTCGATTTCCTGCCCTGGGTCTTGGGGAAAGTTTTGTTGCTACGTTTTGCAGTCATTTATCTGGCACCATATGTACCGGTCAATGCAGGGGAGTCAGAGGCGACCAGGCCTTAGCTCTGGCCTTCCCCCATGAAGCCTTCCTGGATTGGCCCAGGAGAATCAGCAGTCCCTCCCCTGCAGCTTCACTGTCCCTGAGCCAATGATGCACCTGCAAAGTGTGCATTTGTGGCCAGGTCTTCCCCCTGCACCTGGCTGCACCCCCTGATCCATCTCTGCATCCCTTGCCTATCAGAAAGGGTCTGCATGTGACAGGATCTCATAAATGTTGGGTGGGAGGAGGGAGGAAGGAGGTGGACTAGCACTAAATACCAACCTTCCAACTGGGGCAGTCAGAGAGGCTGCATGGAGGAGGCAGCCTCTGAGTGGTTCCTGGAGTGATGGGCAGGCTGTTGCTAGGCGGCAGACACAAGAAAGGATGGTGGGCTGAGGCTCCGTGGGTAGGAGGGCTAGACTGGTGAGCTCACATAGGAACCATGGAGGGAGGCAGCAAAGGGTAGGGAGCGTGCTAAGGGTGCCAAGCTTTGTCTAGGAGGCAGTGGGGAGCCATGCAATTTTCTTGAGGAGAAGCAAACGACATGTTCAGAGTAACCCTTTTCAGAAGCTCAGGCTGACAGCACAAGGATGTGTGTTTATACCTTTGTCTTGAACTGAAAAAGATAAATTGTCAAATGAGAGGAAGTTAACTTGTTCTGTGTCTCATACTCCCCTCAAAGGTGGACTGTGGGTAGGGATAGGGTTACAGAGCTAGGTTTGATGGAAGCCAAAATGAGGGAAAGCCTAGGCTTCAAAACCAGCCAACAGTGGACTGTCTGCTATCAGATAGTGAGTTCCCCACCACTGGAGGTATGTAAGTGGATCTCCAGATCTAATTAGATGAGATTTATACACAAGGATTTTCCATCCGCCATCACTGCACCCCAGTGGGTTTCCTGGGTTCTTTTCTGTTGTCTCTGCTATTGACTTCTCGTCTTCCAGACTATTCTGCCAGGTTACTCCTTTAAGGAAGAACCATTCACACAGGAGTGTCCGTGACCCTCTTCCAGCAGTACTCACCTCTGCCAAGAAGCTCCTGCCATGGGGGCACCTAACGGAAGCCACCTTCCAGTAGGGATGGACTTCATGGCAGCTGTGTTCTGGGTCCTTGGACCACCTGAAAGTCACCGTAGCCTCCCTGTTCCGAATGGCAAGCCTGTCTTTTTGTAATTAATTAGTATTCCTTTGGGAGACACTTGGCGATTCTATAAATACCCTGTTCCTCATGGGAGTTGTGTGGGCTAGCTTTGGCCTCTGTTGCCGTTTCTCGGCTTGATTATTACTAAAATGGGTGCCAAACAGTGACTGGGATTCCTGGTTGGCCCTTTACTGTAAGAAAGAGCCTTCTCTTCTGGTTTATTTATGTCAGTATGGACTTGTGATTTCCCATTTTATTTGGTGGGTTAAAATCCATGACTGTATTTATCTTGATGCTCAAATTGTTCGAATTTGGCCAAGCGGGCTTAAGCCTAGCTCTGTGTCCCTCAGACACGCCCCGTCCCTCTGAGCACTTCCGTTACTTTCTAGCACCAGGAGATGCTCTGCCCAGCCTGGGAATTGCCGTTCCTCTTAGTGGAGGGTGCTCCTAAGGCCCTGGAAGCAATGTGCTAGTTGCTCTTGGGGTGTTACGGCTCCTAGGCCAGTCGGTAGACAGTTGGGGGGGTGCGTGTGTGTGTACATAAGCACGCACACACATCAACCTCGGTCTCACATTCACACTTACCTATTCCTACTGGTACCCATACGTTCACACCGACATCTACACCAGTTCCAGCCCTACCCCACGATTGTTCTAGTTTTCTCACTTTCTCTATTTGTAATGTCTCTTCTCTGACAGTGACAGACTGGCTTCTGCTGCCCCTGCTTGTCCGACTGGCCACGTGTCTGACGACCCTGTGTGGCCGCCTCTCACTCACTGAGGCTCCATTACCGCTCGGGCTGCCCTGCCCCCACCCAGCACCTTCCGGCTTGCACACTTGGCTGCAAACCTTGGGTCTCCTCTCATGCCTCTGGCTCCGGTGCTGTCCCCACCCTGCCTGGGCTCAGACACCTCCCTCGGGCTGTCGTCGCTCCTGTCCCCACCCCGCCCAGGCCGGCTTAGTCGCTGACTCCAGGAGGCGGGTGGTTGGGGAGACTGATTTATAACATTTGCAGATTTCTGTGGTGACACTCCTGCCACTGTGGCCAGTGTTCCCCCTGGACACAGGCCTGGGAGGAAATGGGCGGCTGTCACCTCTGTGTCCGTTCCACCCCTCAGATGCAGCAGGCAGAACAGCACAGGGATGCCAGCCTTCCGGGCTCAGCCCAGTGGCTTTGGACTGAATTACTCAGGAAGGACGGGGGGCAGCAAGCTGAGAAGTGCCTTGTTTACGTGGGCGCCTCGTGCTGCGGGTGGCTGTGCTGAGGCTCGGCTGTCCCTGCTACGTGAGCACACAGCTAAGTCCCCCACCCGGGGCCGACTCCCAGCAGAGGTGGGGCTGTTGCCAAGTTGCTGTCCAATGTGTGTCCCCAGCCTCGGCCCCAGAGTGAGCACCTGTCAGTGGGGGCTCTGATCTTGCAAACTGTGAAGTGCGGCGTGTACACTGGCGGTGGTGGCCATGGAGTCCTGACAGTCTCCTACTTTTGGTTCAGTGTCCTTAAATTGGCCAGAAAACGGAAGGTTCTGAGACTTGTCGTCGAGGCCCCGGCTCTGCGGTCTGCAGCTTAGAGCGTGTGTCTGCGTCTCGTGCTCTGAAGCCGTCTCCCCTCCCTCCACAGGCACAGGAAGAACCTGAAGGCCCTGTACGTCGTGCACCCCACCAACTTCATCAGAGTCCTGTGGAACATCCTCAGACCCCTCATCAGGTGCGGGGCGCGCTCTGCCCGGATGTCCCTGGGTGGGACAGCCTTCACCGTCCGGGCGCCGGGGAGGCCGTGACCCTGGGGTCCCCGCCCAGCCCGGGGTCGTGAACAGGCGTGCCGGCTCTCGACCGCGGCGAGGTTTGCTCCTGGTATTTTAAATCCCTCCTTGGCCTGAGCACCCATCTTGTGCTCTCGGGTCCCGAGACCACCGTCAAGTTTAATGACTCCCCACGAGGACTCCCAGAACCCAGGAAAGCTGTTATACTCGCAGGTACGGTCTCTGCAGAGAAGGAGCCAGGTGGGGATCTGGAAAAGGCCTGTAGGGGGAGAACAGGCAGATGACGCCAAGCCGCCCGCTGTCCGCCCCGGGGGATTCACAGGCCACCCCCGGTCTCCCAGCCACGACGTGTGGCCCCAGCAGCGTGTCGCACCCAGGGAAACTCGCGCGAGCCTGGTGTCCAGTCATCTAGACAGGCCAGTCCGAGGCCCCCGCCATGAACCACGTGGTTGGCGTCTTGTTCCTCTGTGTTGCCGCTTAACCAGGACCAGCATGCTGGGGCCACGGCTGACAGAGACAGAAAGCCAGTGCCGGCTCCCCGCTGCCCGGGAGGGCAGTTCAGATGTTCCTCTGCTTATTGGTGCCATCGTTCACCTTGGGGAAGCCCTGAGGGTTCTGGAAACCTCTTAAGTCCTTCTTGGAAGAACACCCCCCAGCTCCTGCTGTGGGCGGCATGGCCGCCCGGGTGACAGGGTGGTTCTGGAGCCGGACCTCCTGGCTTGACTGGGCTGCCTTGAACATCTGTCACCCTCGGCAATAGATGCCACATGCCACCTCTCTGCCTCGGTGTCCTTGTGGCTGACAATGCTACTTCAGTCATTCTGCCGCCGTACCAAGAACTGACTCAATACACGTGCAGTGTTTTGAGCAGGGCCTGCCCAGCGCTAGCAAACACTCACTATTAGCTGCTAGGGTTGTTTAAAATTTTTTTAATTATCTTTTTATGATTAATTAATTAATTACAATACATTGGGTACTTTATATGCAAGGCGCCCCCAAACAATTCTATGAAGTCAGCTATATTTCCTTATTCCAAAGGAGAGGAGGCTGATGCTCAGAGAGGTTAAGGAGCTTGCCTGAGGTCACACAGCAAGTCAGGGCTTGGCTGGGATTCCAACTCAAGCCTGTCTGGTCCTGCCCCTTATCCTGCCTCAGGCAGGAACATAAGCAGGTACCATGAGCGGTCTGCAGAGATCAGGCTTGGGGCCCTAAAACTCCCCAGCCTGATGGCTATCACCTGGCTGGCTGCCCACCTGAACCCGGGAGTCCTCAGCTGACAGTGGAGGACATGGACAAGAACAGGGGCTCTCCACTGCCCACGTGCTGCCTGACTCTGACCCTCTGGAGGTGAGGCCTGGCGATGCCACCACTCACCCGCGTTGGGGTCCCCTGGATGGGCTGCCAAGAGGCCCTTCCTGGGTGTGATAGGCAGGGAGGGCCCTGTTTGCTCTGCAGAGCCTGCCATCCAGCAAATGCCTGGCTGGCTGGAGGGCAGGCAGAAACTCAGAGAGAAAGTTGAAGGGGGCTCCTGCATGACAGGAGTTGGCACAAGGGACCTGTGTCCTTGCAGACAAATCACGGGAGGCCCCCACAGTGCAAGTGGCCAGGGGTCCGGGCACCCTGTCTGACTCCCCCTCATCCACTAGGGGGAGCCGGTGCACGCGGCTCCGCCTCCCGTGGGCTCCGGGCTCTCGCCAGGTCAGTGATAAAACAGCTCGGTTTCAGTTACACAAGGTGAAGAGGTTTTAGAGACCTGCAGGACCGCGGAGAGCCTGCAGTGAACAATACGGTATCGTGCTCTTGAAAACTCGTTAAGAGGGTACCCCTCATGTTAAGTTAAAAAGAAAAAAAAAGCAAAGGGCCACAGGGAAACCTGTAGGAGCATGGTTATACTTGCTACCTGATTGTGGTGCTGGTGTCCCAGTGTATACATACGTCCAAACTCATCGAGCTTGGACGATTTCACGATCGAATTGTGAAATGCATCAAATTGTGTGTATATCAGTCAGACTTCAACAAAGCTGGAAACCACGGAGCCGTCAGGTGGTGATCATTCACTAGGTGCTGACGTGGGCCCGGCGTTTAACTTCTGTGCCTCCTGGTCGCCCCACTTTGCAGCTGGGGAAACCGAGGCTCGTTAATGACGATAGTCATGGACTGTGATGTCTGCCAGGTGTCAGACAGCGGACTGGTTTAAGTAGCCTCCTATTTACGCAGGAGAACTGACCCCATTCGGGGGGAGGGCAGGGGTCCTGAAAGGTGGGCGAGTGGATTCCGCCAGGACTTACCTGCGTCATGCCTGCTCCATGGTGGACCCCTGGGGGGACCCAGGGTGTCTTGTTCGGTCCCTGCAGTAACGCGAAATTGGATGTGGTCACCACCCTCGCCGAGAGGGGGACTGGGGGGTTCAAATGTGCAACCAGCAGCGACCCCAGAGGCCACAGGCCCCATGAGCCCCTCTCCGTGCCCCTCTCTGCCCCGGCGGCGCAGGGCTCCCCGGCTCCCGCTCTCCTCCATCTGTGCAAATTCACCGCAATTCAAACTGGAGGCACATATTTATTTTTATGCAGATGAGACTCTCCGGAGTATTTGGTGCATCCGAGATCTTATGAAAGCGAACATCTGCAGACGTGCGCTGCCTCTGTTACATCCTGGCTTTAGGTTGTGTCAGCATTTACATTTTCTTAATATGAAAAATGCCAGCATCTCTGTTCTTCCAGGGCTCCCGCTGCCAGCCCCCTCCCCGGCCCCCGGCCTCTCTCTCGCCACCTTATCGGGGTTTTTTTTTTCTCTTTTTTTTTTTTTGTTTTCATTCTCTTGCTTCTGCTTTTTCAGTCACAAGTTTGGGAAAAAAGTCACCTATTTCAACTATCTGAGTGAGCTCCGTGAACACCTCAAAGACGACCAGCTGATCGTCCCCCCGGAGGTGCTGCGGTGAGACCCTGTCCCGGGAGGTGGGGACTGGGCCCCCGGGCTTCCGCAGCCTCCGTCCCATCCTGTGAACACTGAAGGCTTAATTTCCAAATGTGTGCCCGGCCAGATCTGGTTGTGAAATCTGCAGCCTCAACAAAGATTCGCAGTAAAAGATGCTAACTGCTGACGCAGGGAGACGAGGCTGCGGACGGCTGTGTACACGGAGGCGATGCTTTCCTCACCCACCGTTGCAGAACTGATTAAAAAAAATAAGCCACGACGGGGAATGCTGTTTGCTGCCTTAGAGTTGACCGCTTTTGCTTTTGAGCAGAAAATTAGGGGGATTTCTAATTCTAGGGAATGTGGATAATGCTGTGTACAGAATGGAATGTTCTCCAGCACATCGCAGGTGCTCTGGAGAGCAGCCCACCTGGTGCTTCTGGCTGAAAGCCTGTCTAACGTGTCTGCTACTTTGTTTTATATGGCAGTGGTCCACCACCCGCCCCGCCCCCAGCGACAGTCTCTCAGGTAGGGTCAGGCGGGCTGAGAGGGCCCAGAGGGCCGTGTGGTCGGCCCTGGCCCCCTACTGTCAGCTCCGGGCAAAGCCGGATCTCTGAGCCCTCCCTGAGTGCCCTCCGCCCTTTGCATCTCCCTCTCTGGGGGGGCTTCTTTGAAGGAGCAGGGCCCCTGCTAAGCTGCATGCGGGTGAATCCACAGCCCTGCAGGAGGAGTGACAGTGTTTCGCTCCCTCTGGGTGCCAGGTCACAGCCAGGTTCTGGGGATATCAAGCTGTGTTAGGGAGTGTGTCTGCCCACAGGACACTTGCAGGTAGTGGGGCCACAAGTCAGTGACAGTAGGAGCTGAAAGAGGCACTGAACCCAGCTGGGGAGGGGACTAGTGAGGAGGGATATCAGGGAAGGCTTCCAGGAGGAGGTGACTCCTGAAGTGAGTTTCAGAGGGACAATTGGCTAGATCGAGAGGCCAGGGAAGGATGTTTCTAGCAGAGGGAAGCCGTTGTGTAGACACGTGGGTGAAATATTGGCCAGGGGTTGGCAGGAGAGACTGGATGCTGGATAGAGGTTGGATTACCCTTGCTGGCTTCTGTGTGAACACCCCATGGCTACGGGGATCTCGAGGGTGCATGTGTCTGTGTGTGCACATGTGAGACAGCAGTATGACACACAGGCCTGGAAGATGAGACCCTCAGGTCTCCTGCAGACATTTGTCGGACATCTGGCCCCAGACAGCCCCTGGAGGTGGCCCTTGGTGGCCCGAGGCTTCTCCCTGCACGGTGACATGGTGACAGCTGTACTTCTGTTGTGTCCCCAGGCACGACGAGGAGCTTCGGAACCTGCACACAGGCAGGCTGCCCCCTCCCACCAAGACGCCGCCGCCGCGGCCCCCTCTGCCCACCCAGCAGTTTGGAGTCAGTCTGAAATAGTAAGTGAGCTGGGACGTGGTCTGCTCTGCTTCCTGGAACCGCGGAGCGCTTCCGCGTGAGCTTTTCCCGACCTCTCCTCCAGCAGCCAAGCTTAACCCTGCAGGGAAGCTGAAGTGTGAGCTTGTCACTGAGGCTGGAGTGCCCGTCGCTGCTGTGTGTGTCCATGTGTCTCTGTGCAGAGGACCCAGCAGCGGGTGGGGAGGGCATCAGGGACCTGGGGTCCTCGTCCAGCTTTTGTCACCACTGCTCACTGGCCAGTTCTGGCCCATGACCCCCAGGCCATGGCCGGGACGCCTCCCACCACCTTCCACGTGAGCTGTGGCCACATGCTTTGCTCTGGCCGAGGAGATAGGAGTGGCCATGGGGCGGGTCACATCCAGGAGGGAGCTTTGGGGGCCAATTCATGGTTTGCCTCTCGTGGTGACAGACACAGCTGGACATGGTGCCCAGCCGGCCTGTGTCCCCGAGTGACTACAGAGTGTCTCCCACTGACACCTACACCGATGGGGAGCACGAGTGACAGGTGAACTTCTGTTGGGCTCAGCTGCCCGTATTTAGGGACCGTTGTTGTTGCAGTGTACCCTCCCCTTCCTGACCGACCTTAGCCTTATTAGCCATTAGCCATGTGACCTTGAACTCACTCCCCCTCTCAGCTTGTTTCCTTATTTCTGCAGTCAGGGAGCTGGATGATGTGATCTTTACTTCTTGTTAAGGCTTCTGGGGCTACCTCTGCAGGCCAGCTTCGTCTCTTTGAAGACATCCCAACGGTACCTCCTCCAAGAAGCCCTCCCTGATGCTCCAGGCGGCCCACAGGGCCCTCCTCCGTGGCAGCCTCGATCTGAGCAGGCTGCCGTGGGGAGTCTCCCCTGCCATCTCCCCTGCCCAGTGGCGAGCTCCTGCCCATCCTCCTCACCTCTTCTTCCAGCATCTGGGATGACGGAAGGTGAAGGGCTTGTTTTAACCACACAACCACCATCGGGCACTTGGGTCTGAGCTGCCTGATGCAGAGGGAAGCCGGGGCCTGGAGGGTCGTGGATCCCGGGGAGCAGTCTGCTCGCTTTCATTTGTTCGTCGTTTCTGGTCAGAACCTTGCATGTGCTCTGCATGTGGTGCCCTGTAGACCTAGGCTGGTTCTTGTAACACTGAAGGATTATGAACCGAGGTGGCTCTGGGAGAGCCCAGGCCAGGAAAGGCGGCGGGAGTGCCACCTTGGGTGTGTCCCAGCAGCTAAAGATGGACTGTCACTTTCTATAACTTTGTGCGGTGGTGGACATGATCTGTACTGTCCACATGTGAGTTTTTGAGCAGTGCAGGTGAGGCACGAAATGTCTAACTTTATTTAGCTTTAACTGCTTTGAACTGAGATGCCCACTGGCTGCCTGGGGGGCCGTGAGGCCCTGGACTGCGGGGTGTGGTGTTTCTTCAGAGAGGCTTTTTGTAAGCGCTTAGTGAGTATAGTGTATGTTCAAATGTGATCTCCCTAAATGTGTCTGGAGGAAAAGTTTACCGAACAGCGCTTCCTTTTCCTTTATCACTCATTGTAAAAACGTGCTGGCGTGACCCACTTGTGTGGTGTGACTGGGGAACGCGCCTGCAGTGACCCTGGGCCCCTCTGGGGGGCGCTGGCGAGAACGTGGTGCTCAGAGGCGGGTTCTAGGGAGGTTTAGACGGCAGGGCCTGGATTTTCAAGCACCTGTGACCATTTCCCCAGAGTTTCCGAGGCTCCTGCTGTCGGCCCTGTGTGCTCAGCCCAATATGGGTTCTGTGTGCGGGTGTGACCTGACACACGGGGGTCCAGAGCGGCTATGTCGAAGCCGCTGGCATTTCTGTCATCAATCCCTTAGCCCGAGGACTAGCAGTGCCTCCTGGTTTGCCTTTTCAGAACCACTTCTGTCCCCTTACCATCTAACAAAGCTTAAAAAAGGAAAAAAAAAAAAAAAAGGAAACTCACCCAACTCGTGGACTTCTGAAGCCATCCACCTGAGCACAGCGCAGGGGGCTGTCTGTAATTTAACCCAGCCCTCTGAAGCTCCCCAGGGCACCTTAAGCCTGTGTTTCGAGCAGGTGCCTTTTGAAAACGGCTGACGCAGCATTTGAACCCCAGAGCTGTCAGCAGATGGGAGGCGCATAGTACAGATGTCTGTTATGAAGGCTTGGTTCACCCCTGTCCCAGGACTGGCTGTAACTGTGCACATCAGTTCCTTGTGTCTTTAGGGAGTGAGGCGTACCAGTGGGCAACCTTTGAAAAACATGCTGCACGTGCCCCTTTGAGAGAGAATCCATGCAATTGCCTCTTTAAATGAATATTTTATGCTGTTTCATTGCGAATGACTATAATAAAATGGCAATAAGCACATTAAATAAAGCACCAAATATGTAATTTGTTTGGACTATGAATGAATGAATGTCATTAAAATTCATAAGCAGATCCTATTCACAAATGTTAATTCACTGAGTGAAGTTCAAAAGCACAGACAGGAAGTTATCACCTTAGAACAAGCTAATTAAGTTAACATATTAAGGGGAAGTCAGAGATTCAAAGAGGCCTTCGCCTGCTTGCCGTCCCCGAAGAGAGACAGGGAAGACGTACGTGTGTGTTTAGTACAGCCCTGTCTGGGCAGCTGTAGGGGGGTGGGAAGAGGGAGGGGCCTCTGTCAGCGGAGGAGGGGCACAGGTCCCAGTCCAGCTCCAGCACTTTCCAGCTTCGGGAAGTCGAGCTTGGCGTGTAACTTCTCACGCCAGTCTCTTTCCCTGTAACTATAGGTGAAACCCTGCCCTCTGCACCCTCCAGGGGCACGGGATCTTAACAGGGTGTGCAGACAATGCGAGCTAGTTCCTGCTGCCCTCAAATTTGTGCTTTGCTCTTATTCACCCTCATAGTCCCCTCCTCCAGGAAGCCTTCCCTGATGGCGCCACACAGATGGGGATTTGTCGAAAAGGCTATTCTTTCCCCCACTGGATTGCCTTGGCACCCTTGTAAAGAACTAATTGACCATGAAAGTAAGCGTTAATTTCTGGGCTCTCATTCTGTTCCATTGATCTGTGTGCTGGTGCCATCAATCTTTATTGCTGGAGCTCGATGGTAGGTTTTGCAGTTGGGAAATGCGACTCTTTCGACTTTGTTCTTTTCCAAGATGATTTCAGCTCTTCTGGGTCCTTGGAATTTCCGTATTCATTTTAGGATCAGCTTGTCAATTCCGCAACAACAACAAGAAAGCAGTGGGGTTTCAGGAGGGACAGTGCTGTCTCTGTAGGCCCACGTGGGAGGTATTGCCATTTTAACAGTGTTGTCTTCCAATTCACGAGCAGGGGATATCTTTCCATTTATTTGAATCTTTTAAATTTCTTTCAGTGATATTTTATAGTTTTCAATGGACCAGTTTTGAACTTTTTTGCTATATTTTTTAAAGTATTTTTTCTTTGTGATGCTATTGTAAATCAAATTGTTTTCTTAATTTCATTTTTTGATTGTTCATTGCTAGTGTATAGCCATACAGTTGATTTTTTATACTGATTTTATATCCTGTGACCTCGCTGAACTCACTTATTAGTTTGAATAGGTTTTTGTGATTTTTTTTTCAGTATTTTCTATATCCAAGGTCATGTCATCTGCAAATGGACATAGTTATTTTTTTCCAACCTGGGTGCCTTTCATTTCCTTTTCTTGTCTGATTGCACTGGCTATGCCCTCCAGTACAATGCTGAATAGAAGTGGTGACGGCGGGGGATGGGGGGTATAGCTTCGTGGTAAAATGCATGCTTAGTAAGTGCAAAGTCCCAAGTTCAATTCTTAGTACCGCCACTAAAATTTTTTTTAAATTAAGAATAATTAAAAAAAATAAAGTAGTGAGAGTGACGTCCTTGTTTTGTTCTTGATCTTAGAGGAAAGCGTTTCAGTCTTTTACCATTAAGTCTGATGCCAGCTGTGGGTTTTTCATGGACGCCTTTTATCAGGTTGAGGAAAATCCCTCCTGTTCCTGCTTTGTTGAGTGTTGGTTTTTTTTCTTTCATGAAAAGGTGTTGGATTTTGTCATGCTTCCTTTGCTCTGTTGAGATGATCACTTGACTTTGGTCCCTCATTCTATTAATGTGGTTACACTGGTTGCCTTTCATATGTTGAACGAACCTCATACTTCTGGGATATATCACACGTGTTCACAGTATGTAATCTTTTTATGTGTGGCTAGATTTGCTCTGCTAACGTTTTGTTGAGGATCTTGTGTCCACGTATAAGAAATATTGATCTGTAGTCTTGTCTTGTGATGTCCTTGTCTGGTTTTGGTGTTACTAGCCTCACAGGAGGAACTGGAAAACGTTCCCTCCTCTTCTATTTTTTGGAAGCGTTTGTGCAGGATTTCTCTGAACATTTGGTAAAGTGCACTAGTGAAGCCATCTGATCTTGAGGTTTTGTTTGAGGCAAGTTTTCTTGATTACTCATTCAGTCTGTTTACTTGCCATTCTATTCAGAGTTTTTATTTCTTCTTGAGTCAGTTTTGGTAGTTTGTGTTTCTCTAGCAGTTTATCCGTTTCATCTCAGTGACCTTATTGTTTGGCACTGAGTTGTTCATAGTGCTCCCTTACACGTTTTTGATTTCTGTGACGTCACTAGTCAGGGACCCTCTTCATTCCTGATTGCAGTGATTGAATCTCCTCCCTTTTCTTTCTTAGCCTTAGCTAGAGCCGTGTCAATTTCATCTACAGCCTTGTCGATTTCATCGATCTTTTCAAGGAGCCGACCTTTGGTTTTCATGACTTTTCTCTATTATTTTTCTATTCTCTGTTTACTTCACTCTAATCTTTATTGTTTCCTTTCTTCTGCTTGTTTTGGGTTTAATTTGCTCTTCTGTTTCTAGTTTCTTAGGGTGGAAGTTTGGTTGTCGATCTGAGATCTTCCTTCTTTTCAATACAGGCGTTTACAGCTGTAAGTTTCTCTGAGCCCTGCTTCAGATGCGTCCCGTAAGCGCCAGTAGAAGATAAAACCAACAATCTAAGAAAACTTGAGCAACATAATCAAATTAGTCTAACTGACATTTAAAGGACACGCTTCCTAAGAACAGCAAAACATATTCTGCTCAGTTAAAAAGTGACAGAGCAGAATTCCAGCCAGGTGTGTCTGACTTCAGAGCCCTTTTTCCACAATCCAGCACAGTTGCTCAAATATGATGTTTGGGGTAAGAAATTCCAGGAAATAAGGAAAGAGAAAAACAAACATGTTTAGTGGGAGCCCAGAGGTCCGTAGGATGCGTCATGTTGAGTGGCTCTAGATTCAGATCCTGACAGATGGGGGCGAGGGGGGTGCATGTGTGTGTGTGGGGGGGGGCTGGGAAGGCCATTCTTTTATATTTGTACACGTATTTTAAATTGCCTTATGTGAATCTCTGTATCGAATTAGCACAACGAAAGACTAAGTGTTAACAGCCTGTCGGAGGCAACATACTAGGTTTTCATGAAACAGGTTTTTTCATTAATCAGCATCCGATTCAGGCCTCCTGGTTCTGCTTTCATGGCCAGATCTTCTTCTGCCTCTAGGCTTCCCTTTGTATGCTTCCTTCTGCCTGTAATGCACTTCCCTCTTTTGTCCTCTGCAGGCTCCTACTCATCCCTCAAAAACCCAGTTCAGAAGTTTCCCCGTGTAGAGCCCTCCCCAATCCAAGGTCTCCCCGGTAACACGTCATCCCTCTGGTGGAGCCCGCAGACAATGCATTATCATTTTTGTTGTTTCTCTCTCTCTTTTGGCCGCTGGACCACCAGCTTCCTTGGGGCCCAGGCAGCATCTCTCTCTCTCCCTGTGTGTCATCACGGTCCTGTGTTTTCACAGGGGTGTGGAAAGGTCTAGAGCCCTGTGCTGTCATCCCGTCATGCCCAGGGAAAAACTTTCTTTCTTTTCTCTCCTCAGCCTCAAGGATAAAAATCAAGGTGAACTCATCCCCCCTGTGCTGAGGTTCACGGTGACGTACCTGAGAGAGAAAGGTGAGCACTGGCTCCAGCCAGGGGAGGTGAGGGCTGCCAGGTACACCTCCCCTGGGGGCCTCTTCAGGGTCCTGAGTGCCCCACAGGCCAGGGAATTGGAGGAGCTGGAACCTAGGAGGGAGGGTGACCAGGATGGGCAGGGCTCATGCACAGTGTCTCCATCTATGGGCTCTGACCCAGACTGTCTGGGTTTGAATCTTGGCTCTGCTGTGCACTAGCTCTGTGGCCTCAGGCCAGTTACTCACCTTCTCTGGCCCTTGTTTCCTCCTCTGTCCAGTAGGATTAATAACAGTACCTGGTTCACAGGGTTGTTATGGGGACTAAGTGAGGTGATGACTGGGAAGTGCTTTGCACAGCACTGGTTCACAGGACGCCCCCCATAAAAGGGACTCCTTTGCTACAAGAGATAAACTTGGTTTGCAGATGCCACTGCCAGTGAGGCGGGTACACTCAGTGGCTTGGAGAGGGTGAGCCTTGTGGCTCCTCCAAGACTCCCGAGGCCAGAGCTCAGATCCACAGGGAAGGTGTACGGAAGCCACTTTTACCCTAATGGGAGGCAGATTGTTCTCTCGGAGGAGCAGGATGCCAGGGAGGGGTGGCCGGCCACCTGCGGATGTCGGTGCAGGAGCTGCAAGGGGGCTGTGCTCAGACAGGAAGTGGGGATCACCTCCGCTGGGGTCCCTGCTGGTGGTTCCCGGCCTGCCCTGGGAACTGCGAGTTCAGATGTGAAGAGTTGTGTGGAACACCGCTCGGGCTGGCGGAGCTGTGGTTGTCACGGGAGTCTCTGCTTTGATATTTGCTTCTGCTTTGTCGTTTGTAGTACTTCCCGTTCCGTAATGTGTTTCAGGGATAGACGAAAAGATAGTGAGTAAACAGTTTCACAGACACTGAACGGGAGTATTCCTTTTTTTTTATCATATTAATACCTTTCTTTATTAAAAAAATTTTAACAAAGAAACAGCCCATAGTAGGAACTCCGTGTACATTTGCTGAATGAACATGTGAATTAAACATTTACTCACTGGGCAGCCACCCTGGTCCAGGCCCTGAGGTTTCCATGGTGACTGTGGCTCACAGCCTCTGCCTTCCAGGGACTCACAGCCCATCATGTTTGTGTCCGTAAAGCTGTAACTGTCACAACCACAGACTTAGGCAGACAGGGATGAGCCGTTCATAGTGATCAGGGGAACCAGGGTGCTAACACCTGGGTGGGAGGTCACTGTATCGATTTCGGTGCTGCGTAACAAGCGGCCACAAACTTAGGGGTTAAAACAACATGAATTTGTTACGTTCTGGAAGTCAGAAGTCTGGGCACACAGAAGTCGGGTTTTCTGCTCAGGGTCTCACAGGGCTAAACTCAAGGTGTCGGCCAGGCTGTGTTCTTCTCTGGAGGCTCTAGGCAATACTCCACTTCCACGCTCATTCAAATTGGCGACCAAATTCAGTTCTTTGCAGCTACGATGCCTGCTTCCTGGCTGGCTGTCCACCAGCGGCCTCTGTCTGTTCCTAGGGGCCACCTGCTTTCCTTGCTATTGGGCCCCTAGCTGAAGAAATTCCCACACCTCGAATCCCTGCCCGCATGCTTTGAATCTCTGTTGCCAGGAGAACTTGGTCCCTTTTAAGAAGCTCACCTGATTAGGTCAGACCCACCCTAGATAATCTCCACATTCTTGGCCATGGATGTGAATTCCATCTGCAAAGTCCCTTCACTGCAGCATCTAGATTCATGTTTGATTGAATACCTGAGACCCCAGGGTCCAAGGATCTGGGGGCTATCTCTGAATTCTGCCTGCTACAGTCACTCAGCAAAAAACAGAGGGACCAGCCCTCCAGGCAGAGGCAACAACACATACACAGGTAGGAGGGAGCACAGAGCCACCTGGAGGCTGGATGGAGTGGGTAAGGGGAGCTGTGGGACAGGAGAGTGGGGCAGCAGCAGCCAGACCACATGGGTGCTAAGGGTTTATGGGCAGCTCTCCCGAGCTGATGAACGCAGGAGGGGCTCCATCCAGGGGCTGATGAGATTTGGATAGACATGTTCCATTCAGCTTCAGGATGGAAAAGAGATGAGGAAGGAGGGGAGGGGAGAGCAGTGGGTCCAAGGCCCACCACAGTCCCATAGAACTTGGAAATGTCCTATATCTGCACTGTCCAAGGTGGTAGCCACTGGGCACTTGTGGCAGTCACCAAGTAGAGCATTTTAATATGTGGCTCGTGCTTTGAGTGTGGGTAACTTGAGTTTTCCTTTTATTTAATTTTAATTAATTAAACTGAAATTTAAATCACCATGTGTAGCTGGTGGCCCCCGTGTTGGACAGATTAGCTCCAGGCACTCACGGGAAGAAAGGGAAGCAGCATGTTTGGGGGCTTCCTGGGGGCCGGGCATGTGTCAGGGGTTATCCTTCCTACAGCCCTCAGAGGCAGAGGCTCCATGGACTTACTCTGCAGACAAGGCCGCGGACGCTCAGAGAGGCTAAGCGCTTTCCCTAAGCCCACACAGCTGGCGTGAGGCAGAGTTGGAAGGACCTGGGTTCTGTCTGTCTGAAGTGTCAGTCTCTTCCCCTCTCCCTTTCTGGGGCCCACAGAGGTGGGGAATCACATGGGATTGAGGAGTGTGGACAAGTTTGATTGAAAAGCAGTAAACACAGGGACGGGTGGAGGATAGTGTGGGGAAGAGCCTTTCCTGCTAGCCACAGAGGGAGTCACGAAGTGTTCTAGAAACCTCATGTGCTAGGACCTGTGAGATGCCCCGAGGCTCTCTCTCTGCAGGACTCCGCACCGAGGGCCTGTTCCGGAAATCGGCCAGTGTGCAGACTATCCGCGAAATCCAGCGGCTCTACAACCAAGGTGAGGGGGCCCCCGGGGACGCTGGGCCTCCCGCCCGGCCAGCCCCCAGCCCCTAGAATCGTCCAGGGCGGAGGGAGATGCCCAGGTGAGTCCTGTGCCCGGAGGGGCAGGTGGCCGCACGGTTTCACTTAACTTCCCCGGGTCCTCCTCTCAAGCCAGGCGGACAGTGGTTTGAAGTGTAGGGAACGGTCCTGTGGCACCTGCTCGGGCAGCTGCCCTGCCGGACTGGCTCAGCTCCCTCAGCTGCCCGCGGATAAACCTGCTGGCCAGGAGCCGTGGTGTCACAGCTGGCCCGCCACCAGTGACGTTAATAAAGCAGCTGGCTGCGGACAGGAGGCCTCCCCTCTTCTCCCGAGCACCCTTGTCTTTCCCACAGCCATGCATTCACTCATCAAGCGACAGGGTCAGCCTGTCTCAGCCCCGTGTGCCAGGCACCGGGGACAGTGGAGCCTGGTCTGACCTCAGAGCACCCTCATCCCAGGCAGGACCGAGTCACCTAGCTGAGAATCTGTAGCATGCCCAGCCTCCAGTGGGTGCCCTGGAGAGGCAGGGGAGGGTGGGGCGGCACCGCATTTCCAGGTGCTGTGTCCCAGACACGTGGTCCAGCATAAGTCCCTTCCCCTTTGGAGGTTTAAAGCCATTTTGTGTCAGCCTGTCTGAAAGCGGGAATCCCCAGCCCAGAGTCAGATCTCAGACGTGCGATGCCCTGTGTCCAGGGAAGCCCGTGAACTTTGATGACTACGGGGACATCCACATCCCTGCCGTGATCCTGAAGACCTTCCTGCGGGAGCTGCCCCAGCCGCTGCTGACTTTCGAGGCCTATGAGCAGATTCTGGGGATCACCAGTACGTACCTGCTGCAGGTGCCGGCCTGGGGTGGGGCTGCCTGGTCTCCTCCTGTTTCCATCTGGCACTGTGGGCCAGGGGAGGGGCCCACCCCCACCCCCACCCCCACCCCCACCTGGACCCCTGCTGGCCTCAGCCAGGCCGCCGCTGTCCATGGTGGGGGTACATGGGGTAAGGGGTCGTCATCAGGGTGGCAGAGGGCATCCTAGACGGGGCACGTCACCCAGATCAGAGTGCTGCCTCCACCGCCTCGCGGTGCTGCTCCAGAGGAACCCCCACCTCCAGCACCTCCTCATCGTCGTCTGGAAAGGGGGTAACCACCCCCGCCTGCTGTTAAAGACAAAGCTATTTGGGACCCTTGTTAAAGTACAGCGGGACAGCCTCTATTCAGTGGGGGCAGGGGACATTGTGAGAGGTGCAGGACCCCGGCAGTGGGCTGTGTCAGTGGGGAGATAGATACGGCTCAAGTCTGGATCCAACAAGCAAAAGTGGGGACTTACAGCCAAGGAGCAGGTTGGGGAGTGGTCACTGGGTGGAAACATCAGGGGTTGGGGGGTTCTGGCTAGCCTGACCCAACAGGATTCTTGCCGCAGGCAGGCCTGGTGGTCCAGCATCACCTGGGGTTGTGGGGCCAGGGATGAGGAACCCAGTCAGATATCAGGGGCGATCAGGGTTCTCGTTAAACTGGCTTAGCAGGGTCCTTGGTAAAGTTGGATAACACAGAGACAGACATAGAAGCCCAGAAGTCAGGGCCTTGTTAAAAAAGAACTCAGAGGTGCCTGACTGGACCTTGAGGAGAGAATCTTTGTCACCACGTGTCTCCCTAGGTGGGGGGAGAACGCCAGGGAGACCTGGCCGGAGCTGCAACCACAGTTCATGGTGAAGTGGGTGCTCTGGGGTGGACCGCGTGCACTGCTCACGTTTCAGAGATAACTGGGGCGTACCAGGAGACAACAGAACCAAATACGGTCACTTTCAAATGGGGCGGGACTCCCTCCAGCCCCAGTGTGACCAAAATTGGGTTCACCTCTTGGTGGGTGTCAGGCCAAGACAGACACCAAGCCAAAGGGCAAGAGAAGGACAGATTTTACTATTGCAGCAAGTCAGGACAACCAGGGGTCTTCCCAAAGCTGTGTCTCCTCAAGCAGCAAAACAGGGGACTGTTTAAGCTAAGGGTACGTGCATATTCATGCAGGAGCTAGGGTGGTATATGCATATTCATGAGGGGCTTGAGCAGAGGAGAATGCCGCCTAGAACCGGGGCAGAGGTTACCAGAGCCCACGCTCCAGCCCCACCAGCTGGAGGTCCGCAAAGGTCAGCGCCGTCGTCCCTTAGGTTCTGGTTGACCTGGTGGTTGGGCGCTCGCAGGGGCTTGGATCCTGCCAAACAGCTCAAGGGTGTGCTCCAGGCTCACCTTTACCTTTGAAACAGACCTGGGGTGGGGGCTTGACAACTGATTTATTGCCTCTGATATGGTGAGGTTACCTCCCTGACCTGGTCAGAGCTGCTCTTACATTCTTCGTTCCTTCAAAATCATTAACTGCCGAGGCCTGCTCTTCTGCAGGTGCAGGCCCTGTGGTCAGGCCTGGATCACAGACGGCTTAGGCCAAAAATGGCTTCTCTTATGTCAAGCAAGCCAGGCCTGGTTCTCTTCCTCCGGGGCCCCCTACCCCATCTGCCTACACCAGGCTTCTTGGAGCCCTGCAGTCCTGGACGGAAACTTGGGTTTTATATTAATTCCAGAACAGCTATTTTAGGATATTTTAAAGATAAATCTTGAACTG